CCTTTGCTGCTTTATCAAGTCTTCTTCTGCACTGTGCCTCTGTATGGAGGCGGACATCTTGGTAGGCCTTTGCTTCCTCAGGTCAGAGCGGACCCCCTCCCCAATGACTGGTGATTTGGTGATGGTGGGGTGATGACTGAGGTGGAGGAAGCACAGATCCATAGAATGGATGAAGCAGGGAGCTCCATGCACTGCAGGTTCCCAGGTACGGCTTCCCCTCCAGCAAGGAGAACAGTGAGCAGCACAGTAGTGACATCACCAAAACGACCCTCTGACTATAAAAAGTATAAAATACGGCGTTCCTCCAATCACCGCTCACCTTTTCCGGCAGCTCTTTGAAGCAGGCGATTCCCAGGGAGAGGACGGAGCGCGTCCGAGCGGCCTGACATATCGCCTTATAGCGTTCCTCAATACACCTAGAACAAAGCCAGACACACCTCCATCACTGGGAGTCACACGGTACAATATAGCTCAGGGCCATCACCACCCAATCACAGCGGAGATCCAGTCTGTATAGAGATCACCAGTCACCATACACAGTGTTAGGATCCAGAGCGCCTCCAGGTGGCGCTGGAGCTAAGCCCTGCAGTTCCAGTGCTCACCTGCGGGTGTCTCCCAGCTGCCCGCACCTAAAGGAGAACTATGGGTTCAGGGTAACGGGAGGACACAAACTAGCGTCCTCCCGTCACCCTAAGCTCAGTATATAGGGAGTTACAGCTCGCGGTATACTGAGACGCCGCAGCGGATCCTGACATGAACGTCGAGATCCGCCCAGCTGCGTGAGTGACAGCTGGCTCTGCCTATCGAGAGGCAGAGCCAGCTGTACCCGCCCCCTCCCCCATCCGTTCCGCCAGTCAGCGCTGGTGGATTGGAGCGGGAAATCCAGCCCCTCCCCTCTCATGGCAGAGAGCCGTGACAGGATCGAGAAGTGAGCAAACGCCGGTATGTGTTCGCTCACCTCCCGATCTACTGAGCCGACCTGTGACAGTCTCATAGGTCACAGGTCGGCTAGAACTATGAGGTGAGTGAAAAGCACCCCTCCCCCCCTCATAGTTCTCCTTTAACTCTCCTACAGAAACTCTTCCATGAGCCATCATGTGATTCACATCCAGAAACTAATAAAGCCGATTACGAGGGAAATCATACAAAGTATCTGTTCTCTGGATATATGAGTACTGCCAGTGAAATATCACACGCATAAAACACGCCACATACAAACATAAGATATAAAACCGCACAGATCTGCACATGTAAAACAATCGCTCGCAGCTCATCAGCGTGAACTCCAGATACGTACTGGTTGAGTAGACTCTTCCGAGACCCCAGGCCGCTCAGCTCCTGCGGGGACACAAAACGTGAATGTTAGCCGTGGACACCGACATTCCGAGGTGGAAGTTCCTCAGGCTTAAAGTGACAGGTTCTCTTGAAATACAACCTAACACTCACTGATCCCTAACTCCACGGCCACACCCCCTCCCCCCCCCCCCCCGCCCCGCCCCCCCCCCCCAAAAAACAGCCTGGTCCTTCACCCTGAGTCCAATCCCGGTGTAAGCTCCATATCAGATGCTGTCAGAGCTTACACAGGGTTAGTGACCCCCCTTGATTGTGTCACATGACATTGTTCGGGTCTGCTGATTGGCCACTCAGGCTCAATAATGGAATTCTGGGAGGGAGAGGAGGTCTATTGCTCTACAACCGTGGTAGCCAAACTCCGGCCCTCCAGCTGTGGTGAAAGTACAATTCCCATGATGCATCTCTCTCCGGGAGTCATGTCTGTGAGGTTTCCTGCAATGCCTCATGGGATTTGTAGTTCCACCGCAGCTGGAGGGCCGGAGTTTGGCTAACCCTGGTCTACAACCACCAAGTATATTCCCCGGGCCCCGACAGAGCGACAGGAGTTCTAGAAAGGGGACTATCAGAAGCAGAGGGGAGGGGTTTCAAGAGAACCCCCAATCACTCCTCCCCCACTTCTCTACTCACCCCCCATGCCCCACCCCCACTGATGGGAAGTGCTCTGATATCTCCCATCACTCACAGTGTCAACAGCTATAAACGTGGACGTCTTCAGCGCCAACAGAATGGAGGGCCACAGCTCGGAGAAATTGTCATTGTAGACGTCGATGACGGGGACCCGCAGAGTCGCCATCTTCACCTGAACCGAAAAAAAAAAAGCTTTATTTATACAGCAATAGGCTGACCAATCCCGTTCTGGCTCTCACACCTTGTATAGAACCCCATCATGTGCCTCTCTGATCAGGCTTCACCAGCCCACCGATGACATGGCCGGACTCCTGCAACAGTCCGAACCACTGAATGTGACTTCGCTGATGAGGAATCCCCCGGCTGAAGACTCTGCAGAATCCGACACTTCCGGGGGCGCCAATGTCCCAGGCCCCCCTCCCTACATACAGTACAGGACACGGCAGGGAGGTGCAGGGACCAGTGAGAACAGCGGGGGACTGGGAGATCCATTCTTTCAGAATGTCGGATTCTGCATAGACTTCAGCCGGTGATTTCACCTTAGCTGAGCAACACTGTGTGGCGGGGGAGGGGAAAATCTCTTCCTTATTCTGTGTCAGAGTTTTGTGACGGGGACCCTTTAAATGTTGAAGTTTTAGCGGAGACCTAGTGTGATGGTCCTTTAGAATTCCAGCATGCCGGAGCCACACCACAGAGGGGATTTAACATGTCTGTGGCTGATAGGATATGCTGGGAGTTGTAGTCCCGCAGTAACTTGAGGTATCATTGGCCCTCTGGCTGAGGGGAGCCGTGCCGATACTTGTAGTCCTCTCAGAGCAAGAGGGAACCTGTCACGTGTCTGTCCACAATCCCCTCTCTCAACATACAATGTGGTATCTCCCACCATCCTCTGTATGTATAATGCCCATTACACACCTCGCCCCCGTCATAGAGAAATAATAATATAGTCACATGCGAATCACAGCTCCCGGTTCCATCTGCTCCTCTACTTCCGGTGCGCATTGATGACGTTAACCATCACGTAGTGTGTGCAACTCCTCCAGACAACAGACCATCCGGGAGCGTCTGATTGGAGGGGAGGGAATTCTCGGCTTGCTACAACCCCGCCCCTCTTCCAACCTGAGCCAATCAGGGTGAAGGATTAAAGGAAGAGGGAGTGGTTGTGGCTGGCAGCGTGGAGCGGTAAGTAGTGGAGGGAAACATTGTAATTACTGAACCGGAACTGTCATCATCCTCCTCATATTTATTATCACTGTCTGTGTATTGATCGCTGGCTGTGTGTCCTGTGCTGGGTACACCGACTGCTCTACTCATGACTGTTGTGTCTAATCTTCTATACTGATCATATTCTATTCATTAAAAGAGTTTTCCTCCTGAGACCACACTATGCTCACATCACCTCTGTCATGCTGATCCTCTGGCTTCAGCAGTTTTCCGTAACAGAACAGGTTTTTAGGTCAGTTCTGCCTTTGCTGCATCCTTGTCCCTGGTCAGCGACCAGAATTAAGAGCAGAGGATGAGAATGACACCGGGCAGCTTTCTAGGGTTGCCACCTTTTCTTCAAGCGAAACCCGAACACTCCAGCGACGCATGGTCATTTTTGTGGGAGAATGAGTCGCGGCTTGTTCATATGTAAATAGTGCCGCCCATTCATGTGTAAATATCACAGTAGAGACTATTTTCAGTGGAGGGCCAGTAGCCCCTATTTTAATTTTGGTTGCCCCTGTCTGCCTGACATCATGTGTCCGGGTTTCTGCTGCCATGAAACCCAAACACAGCATTCAAAACCCGAACTGTCCGGGTGAATTCTGGACAGGTGGCAACACTACAGCTTTCATGTGTAGAAGGAGAGTTCAGTAATATCGTCCATCCATCCCTCGCTCTATCCATCCATCGATCCCTCCCTCCCTCTGTGCACCCCCCTCTATGTATCCTTGCCTTCATTCATCTCTCTGTCTCTTATTTTAGTATTGGATGGAGAAGGGAAGGGAGGACCCTCTGGTGACCACACAGGAAGTACGGGGACATTTCCCCCCAGCGGGGACCCAGTAATGAGAACCTGACACAAAGATCGGATACATTTTCCGGCAGATTCCGCCACTTATATAGACAATAATGATATCAGACCGACAACACGTCCCCTGTACACCAGACCCCATGTCCATGGGGGGGGGGGCTGTGGAGTCCCTCCATTAAAGACACCCCTTTAATGACCTGTCATGTCTTTGTCTCCAGTGATGGGGCGCTCGGTGGTCAGACATTCCTCCAGGAAAGTCCCGAAGAGAGAACAGAAGCCTTCAACCAACAAATCAGGTAGGAGGGGAGAAGAGGAGGAGGTGTCTGTGTGTTTATAAAAGGTGAACGTTTGATTGGCTATCACA